GATCATTAGCAGCCTGACAACAAATCCCAAATTAATCAGAACTAGGAATGACAAAAAAACCCTGCTTCTCCAAGACCCTGGAATCACAGAATCATCTAGGTTGGAAAAGACCTTGCAGAACATCCAGTCCAACCATTAACCTCACACTGACAGTTCCCAACTCCATCAGATCCCTCAGCGCTATGTCGACCCGACTCTTCAACCCTCCAGGGATGGGGACTCCACCACCTCCCTGGGCAGCCCATTCCAACGCCCAACAGCCCCTTCTGCAAAGAAATGCTTCCTGACATCTAGTCTGAATCTTCCCTGGTGCAATCTGAGGCCCTTCCCTCTTGTCCTATCGCTTATTACTTGGTTAAGAGGCTCATCCCCAGCTCTCTGCACCCTCCTGTCAGGGAGCTGTAGAGGGCGATGAGGTCTCCCCTCAGCCTCCTCCGCTCCAGACTGGAGTCTTATGTTAAATTTGCCTAGATAAACAAAACACCTGCTTCCTCAATCATCCTACTCAGTGATCACTGTATCAGATCTCACTGAAATTCAGCAGTTGCCCACCATAATCATACACCTCACAGATGAGAAAAAGTAAAAGCACTTAACGCTTGAGGAGCAGAGTTTGGCAGTTGAAACAACCCATAGAAATGAATGAGTTCTTATTTTCCCAGCAGTTTCAAAAGGCACCTCTCTGGTACAATCGGAAAGAGGATGGAATCTTCCTCCTGCAAGTTTCTGATCTGTGAGCTCAGCCACAGCAGGCCGGAATGAGGAGGAAAGTAATTTACAGTGATGGTCTCAAGCATGTACCATGCTCACCAAGCTCAGAGACAGCACTTGCTGAGCCCACAGTGGCTACGGCACGGGGAGTTCTGAATTATTCAAAATGTATATGATTACATATATTCATTTACAGCCTTAAAGACTGGAGCCAGGGCAAGAGCAGTCACAGCTCACGCTGGGGAGGCAGCCATCCCACCCACATGGTCTACTCTGGCTTCCTGAAGCCCAAACAACAATCCCACCAGCATCATGGAATAACCAGAATGCAGTTTGTCACTACAACTCCAGGAGACAGAGCAGCAGAGTGACAACCTCTGCTGATTTAACTCTCCTAAAATGGGGCCCTTTTTGTATACCTCTAGGTTATAAAACTCAGTCTTCACCAAACTTCACCAAACTGTCTCAGATAAGCAGGACTTATAAGTAACACATGGATTACTTCACATCAGGATGTTCAAGGGAGTCATAAGCTCTAGACAGTACCTTCTTTTTACAAATAATCCTTTGTTAATTAAATCATGCTGACCCAGTGAGGCTCTTAGGTCATGCTGACATATATTTCTTAACTAGTGAGGCCTTGCAAAGGCCTGTGAAGTGTTAATTATTTTTACTTCCATATGAGGCAGATGCTTCCTTAGAAGTGTGAGAACCTGAGCAGTGGCCACCAACAGCCTTCAGGGCCGTGCCCCAATTTAACAGTGCTCTTACTCTGGCTTCTGTTTGGTCCCTCTGTCTTCTGATAGCACTTCTGACATCATCAGCTACCCGAGGCATCTGCCACCTGTGTAACAAACTACCACATCCTACAGCAGGATTTGGCAGCTCACACAGAATGTTCCTAATGACCTGCTCTGACAAGGGAGTTCCTCCCGGGCCCCTGCTAACTGCCCTCATTGCTGCTCCTCCACAAAGCCTACAAATGTGTCTGAGGAAATGAAGTCCTTGGTTGATCCAGAAACCAAGTATCTGGGGGTCTGGGCCTATTACATGGCTTCTGGGAAACAACTCAGCACTTGGCCCATGTTACCTGATGTAATCAATTTTACTTTTCAGAATCAGTTCATACACATCTTTCCTGGCTCTCTGTCTTCTGTTTTTTCTCTTGTAGCCCCCAGGTTGAGCTCATGTCCTTTCTTTTTTGTAAGTCTCTCCAGTGGGATCCTTGGCTATTGCACAAGGAAAGTGTCCATTTTAGGCTGAGATGTGAACACAGAAAAGGTGGTTGAGCAGTCTCAAAGGCAAAGGAATGTGTTCCTAAGGCTGACCTGACTTGATAAAGAAATCCTTAAAGGCTTTGTTCTTCAGCCACTGAAGCTCATAAAAAATTTTTCATGCCAATGGGCTTGGGAGCAAGTCCTAATTCTTAGTTATGTAATTTACAAAAACATGGCATATTCTTCAAAATAGTATTTCTGATCTAGGTCTAGTGAGCAGGAAGGCCAGCTGGTGCTATCCCCCTACAAGATGTCTGGACACAACTGGCTGAAGCCATCTCATTAGCAAAAATTGCACTCCTAATCAAGAGCCACTCCACTGGGCCAAGGAGAACTGCATCAGAAGAAATCATCAGTGCACACCCTTAGCACCACAACCTGCTCTCCCTGCCCTCTGACTTCTGAAAGGAAAGGATCTGTGGGTTCTAATCGACAAGCAGCTGAACAGGAGCCAGCAGTGTGCCCAGGTGGCCAAGAAAGCCAACAGCATCCTGCCTTGGATTAGAAATAGTGTGACCAGCAGAAGCAGGGAGGTGACAGTCCCCCTGTGCTCTGCACTGGTGAGGCCACACCTGGAGCGTTGTGTCCAGTTTTGGGCACCTCAATACCAGAGAGATCTCAAGGGGCTGGAGCAAGTGCAGAGGAGGGCAACGAGGCTGGTGAAGGGCCTGGAGAATAAATTCTGTGAGAAGTGATTGAAGGGGCTGGGAGTGTCTAGTTCGAAGAAGAGAAGGCTGAGGGGAGACCTCATCACTCTCTGCAGCTCCCTGAAAGGACATTGTAGAGAGGCTGGTGCTGGGCTCTTCTCACAGGTGATTAGTGACAGAAGAGGGAATGGCTTTAAACTGCAACAGGGGAAGTTCAGACTGGACCTTAGGAAAAAATTTTTCACAGAAAAGAGGGATCAGACATTGGAATAGGCTGCCCAGGGAGGGGGTGGAGTCCCCATCCCTGGGTGTGTTTAAGGGTCGTTTAGATGAGATGCTGGGGGATGTGGGGTAGGGGAGAACTTTATAGAGTAGGGCTGATAGTTGGACTCGATGATCCCAAGGGTCTTTTCCAACCTGAATGATTCTGTGACTTGTATTGAGAGCCTTTCCCGCCAGGTCATGAACTGCCAAGTCTGAGACACACAAAAATCACCTCCTAGGCACTGCTAAACCAAGACTTACATGATGAATTCAGTAGCTTCAAAACTCAGCTTCCTCTGGGAGGGAGATGAAAGGCTGTTTTTCAGAATATTTTCAAATGCTTGCAGTATTTGGGTCCCCTGTGTACTCTTTACCTTATATTTTGCCCAGTCTGCTATTGCTTTTCCTACTGGGCAGCACCTATCAGGACTGTTCTTAAATAACACTCCACAGCAAGCTTCTCCATCTCCTGGAAGAGCATGGAATACAACCACCCAGAGGACGTCTCCTCTTTGAAAGGGGGCAAAGGGTTTTATTTCTCACTTGCCTTTCTGGCCTTTGTCTTCAGCCTTTCCATCAGCACTGCTTAGCTCCACCAGAAGAAAAAGCCCTCGTGCTATGGTCAGTGATCCAAATGTCTAAAAAACCTTGTGAATTTCTATCCCATAACAGCTTAACAGTTACCCAGGTACAACAGTCTCACATTTTTTATGAGTACCTGGACTTGAAGAACACAATGTAAGAAGAGTAACATGTACCCATTAGAGAAAGATCCAATAGAAGCAAATAATTTAGCAGCGAACACACCTATATGGCTTCTTTTAAGGATCAACGTCCATCTTAACTAACTTTTTAAAAATTAAAGGTGGCATTATAAATACAACAATTCATAGAGTGTGCCTCTCCTGCTCTGATATAATGGTCAAGGTGGTGTTCAGTTTAAGGTTTCACTTCAAGTGTCTTTTTGATGTCCACTTCCTCCTAGGAGCTTCTCCAAACTTCAGGCAAACTCCTAAAAATATGTATCAGAGGAGTCTGAGCAAGGAGGCCAGGACAAGTAACTACAAATTCTACAGTTGATGACTTATGGCAGGGAACCTGTTTCTGCTGCACAAGGCAGATCTCCAGGAGAACTACATTTCTTCTGCTCCAGAGGAGAGAGCCGAAAGCCTGAGCTGCACAATGCAGCTTTGGTTCCAGACTCTCAAGTCAAGGTCAGGAGGCCCAGATCTAGGACTCTTCCAATACCAAAGTTACCCATGAAAATGAAGCCAGCTGTGGTTCTGGGAGCACAGGATGGTTGAATTATGCTTTGCCCTGTAAAGCAGCATGTGTTCACCTCAAAGCAAGGCTTCCTTCATGACCACTCACCCCACAAATTCTTGTAACAACTGCAACATTTTGATGTAACCTATCTTCCTCACGGAGAAAGTCTTCCAGATACTAAGAAGTGTTATGCTTATTTTTCTCCTCCTCCATATCCTTCTTCATACCATAATTAGAGAAAGCTGAAGAAAAAGACAAACTCATCAGATACCTCCACTGTCAATAACCCAGCAGGTCTCCTTCACTGAACAGTCTTGGGACTGCAAAGTACAAATCTAAACTCTGAATTGGCCTGTAAAAGCCATTTCAAAGCTATTTGACTTGTAGCAGGGAGAGTCCCCAAAGATTCTCTTCATTACTCTGTCATACAGGAAAAGTTAAAGACAGGTACCCCGAGATCAAGCTCAATAGTGTCTTCAGGCCAAAACCAGGAAAATACTCTTATACCTTTTACATGAGCTGGGGACAGGAATATTGGTTGTCCGCCAAGTGAAAGAACATATAGTTTAAGTACCAGCAGGAAAACCATCAGCATATTCTAAGTTGCCTGATCACCTTTCAGAATGAGGCAACGAAGAAGGAAAAGCTACATTTATCTTGTTTGCAACTAAACACCCTGAAACATCACACAAGTATGAAACAGTGCTGCCATTTTTCATCTTATAATTTCTTCCACTTTAAATGCAGTTTCAAAAGAATATTTCTATGCATACACATGGAACACTTATTTCTTGTGGCAGCCAAGTACTTCAATTAAAAAAAATACACAGGCAAGTAGTTTTCACAGATTTAATTTTAAATAATTTTTAAGAGTAATACAAAAGTTACCGTTTTTTCCCCACCCCAAAATTCTTCAGTGAAGTTACTTGCTGCATCTTTTGGGTAACACCGTTTTAAAAGCACTTCGAATGATACAACTTCAGCTTATGTTTTCCAGAAGAGAGGGTTCTGTGTCAGACGTCTCTGGAAATTCTCATACCTAGAAAAAAAAACCAACACAATCAAAAAACCCAAAAGCTGCTGCAAATAAAGTGGCTTCAAAAATGATACAAATAATTTAGTTTATGCAGAGAACATAGTAAGTTACATCTATTCCACAGCAGGGAATAAATCCAGAACCCTCCTTTCTGATTCCATGTCAAGACTGCTCACAGTGCATATTCAGTCCAATTCAGGATTGCTTTCTAGCAGGCTGTGTGTAACCTGCTCACAGGTTAGGAACAGGGGACTGCAGACAATTCTGAACTCAAAGATATGCATTGATTTGCCTTGTAGTTCTAATAGAAACTTTGAGACAAAGTAGATAACATTATTTTTCCACCCTCACCAAATAATTCTAACTTTCACATTTATTATATAGAGTAATGCTTTAGTAAAAATCTAATGAGGAAAATAACACATAATGGAATCAAAGTACACACACATGCTGTCCTAATTTCACTTTCTATACTCACAGAAACAAGGAAACCACAAACAAACAAAACATCAGAATTCATTAGTGACCTACAGAAGTAGTAAGGGAAGTACATGATGTCTGTGACTTAAAAAAAAGAGCCTACAAACTCCTCTCAATCCCCACAAACCCAAGCTGTAAGGTATCAAAAGGTACTGCCAAACAAGAAAAACAAAAAAAAGGTTCTCCTACATCTCACAGTTCCTAACCAAACTCAAATGAGAAGAGACTCAACATGGTTTTACACCCACTCAAATTAGAGAAAGGCTTATTTATGAATGAATTTCTAAGTGAAACTATTGAATTTCCATTGCAGCCAGCCCACTGCAGAGACCTAAGATACTCTACATATTACAAACTATAATTAAACACATTATAATGACTCACAAACACATGAACAGAGCCAATGTTTTTCTGCGGCTGTAATCACATTATTTCTATACACAAACATGTTCAGTTTATAAGAGTTATGCCTCACTTCACTATACTGTTTTGAACAACAGCCAAAAGCAAATTCAGCATTATCCAGACAATGAACAACCCTGCTGCTTTAGCCCATCTTCCCTTTGGTTTCTCTCAGAGGCCTTACCCACATATCTTCATGGAGTGCAGTTACCTTCTAAATAGAAGGGATCTGCATCAAGTTAACTCCCAAAGAAAATACATTGCTTACTTAACTGAGATCTGTATTAATGATAAAACTGTATTCGCAACCCAAAATACTGTTTTAAAAGGGTTTAGGTTAATGCTGTAGAGGCTAAAGAGGGTTAAACTGATAAATTGTAGGAAATAATTTTTCAGACACCCTAAAGGACAGCTTGCAGTTCACAGTTTCTCTCCAGACTACACAGGCTATCCCCATAGACCATTATTTCTTAAGCCAGTCCCTGGAAAACGACTCTCAGATTTTTGTATTTGTGCTCAAAGGTCTTGGTGACAGAACCAGGTCAACTAGGAACACAATTTCTCCACCTCTCCCGTATTTTTAAGCAATGTAACTATGCTGGAACTATGTCTAGGAGGAGACCAAGCATAACAAATAAGCACAAATGGACAAGTATCAGTGTGTTCTGCCTCCTGTGCCTCCAGAGTATTTGCATAATCAGCAACATAGTGCAAATAAACATATGTCAAGGGTGACATTTCTAGAAGCAAAAAAAATTTCCTAGGCTGCATAGCACTTTTCTAACAATTGATATGAAGATGCTGACAAATAAATATAAAAACAGCAGACAGAACCTCTCTATACTTGTGATAAACAAGAACAAATGCTTTCAAACATTTTTGTGTAATCTCACTGAATAGCATGACAGTAGTTCAATACTTGGAAATCAGCTGGTTTAACGCCTAGTAAAAAAGAACACTATTAAAGATAATTTCCATTACCATTTCAGAACTACATTTGCAGGAATGAAAGCTTCAGAAGGATTTGGGGTCATCTGTGCCTGAGTAACAGCAAATGAGGAAGCAAAATTATAGAAGTTATCCAACATCTTCTGTGTGAACTGAAATAAAGAAACATTTTAAGTTAAGTTCTTTTTTCAATTAAATTTTTGTGCAGAAGTTTAACAGATATATAACACCTATATGAAGTAAAATTAGCATTGTCATCTAAAACACACTGGGAAAGTGGATATACTAGGTCCAGGGATGTCCATTTTGAAGTGATCAAAAACATAACAACCCTGTCTTGTCCTCAGATTCATCCAGACATCATTTTCAGAATCTTCTCTTTCCCTCTCCCTACCTGATTTCGTACAACTGGATAAACAGGTTTGGGAAGGACCAAGAGTTTAGTCTGGAGGACAAGAGCTGTCCCTCTCCTCCAAACTAAGCCATCAGAAGAACTGCAGAGCAGGTCAAAGCTGCCATTTCAGCTCACAGCAAAACACCAGCTGTTAAACCAGCTGAAAAGTCTGCAATCTGCCTCGTTACAACTCAGACTCCAGCAATAGGGAAATTTCTTTTAGCTTTCGCCACAGAAGGGCTGCTATCCTGGCATCCTCTGCCACAAGATCCTGCTGGGGAAAACATGAAAAAAGGTGCATAGCAAACTCCTAAACTGTAGAAATAAGGAAGTAAAAGAGTGAAAGTGAGGCCAAGAAGTAGCAAGCCCTGTGTGCAGAGGATGAGGCTGTAGGACATTCCCAGCCAGTCTACAAATACATAACCCTATGGTATCTCCTTCTTTCCCCTATTCTTTTTATTTTAAGAAAAAAAAAAAAAAGCAGCATTGTTTTGCTGGGAGAATTAACTATTTTCATAGACAGTGAAATGGAGGAAAACAGAGCCTGGGACTATATACGCACACTCTTGTGCTTCCTTCCACCTGCTCTGACAAAAGGAGTGGAAGAACTGATATCCTAGAACCTCAGTCACATCTCGCTCACATGCAGAACTCTGTGGTTTTGTCCCACTTTTTTCCATATAACTTTTTATAACTAAGAATATATATACACACACGATCTTAAAGCTTCATAAAACTTCCTAAAAATGTCGTGGGAGAACAAGCCCTTAACTCAAGAGTAGCAGCAGATGATTTTGCCTTTAAAAAAATACTTTTAGTGCTATAATGTAGCAGTTCCAAAGAGATGTCAAGTATTAAATAAAAGCCATTAACCATTCACAGACATCCTTCCAGTCTTATCCCCTTCCTCTACTATCCACTCCCTCAAAGGTTTCCTTCAACTATGACTTTATACATTTTCTCTACAAGTGTAACTAATTATTACTTTTAACCTTTGGCTCAACTGCATTCCAATATACAATTTCAGCTAAGATGCTACTCTTTTTTTAATAGAGAAATCCACCTAACTGGAAGTAACATTTGTAAAAGAGTTAGGCAATCATGAGGTGTTTGGTTTTTTATTGTTTTTTGTTTTTTTTTTTTCTTTAAATAGTATTGCCAGGAAAATCCACCAGCCACCTTGAAAATGACCTCACATGGCACATTATCACCTCATGACTCAGTTACCATGAAATGAGAAATATTATTTAGATGTCATTTGCCCCAAACAACTTCAGAAAAGCTCAACTAACTGTACTATACAAAAATAGCTGTTAGTCAACTCCTAATCATGGTAGCTTTCTCCAAATGACATCACCTATTTGTAGCTATTATGTGTATAAACTGCCAAAAGACATCAGCTACAGTACTATGGTTTCTGTTCAATTACCAATCTACCTCAGCAAGTGCCTGTAAGGAAAGCAAGCAACAACAAAAAAAACCCTCAAGAAAAGCCTCATCAGCTTCTGAAACATTAAAGGATAATGCCAGAGCCTTCAGTGTTAAAGAAATCAAGACCTGCCATGCCAATCTAGCTTGCCTTGAGCTGCTGTTAGATGGCCAACTAACTGCCAGTGCTGGCTCAGGATTTCCAGAGATTTAAACTGACAGGCTGGGTAAAAAATGGCAAGTGTTGAAGCCCAAGGCCTGGTCCATAGGGAAAGAAAAAAAAAAAAAAAAAATGTGGGAGAGGGCACAATTCTGTAGTTCTACAGAACTACATCAGAAGGATTTCTCAAGGGCCAGTGGTACACTTGGATATCTATCTGCACCCATACCCACATCTGCCTTGACTTTTGAGTAATATTTGACCATCCCTGCAAGTCTATGCCCTGGAGTTCCTCCACCTACTAATCACCGAAGATTCACTGTCTTTTACACACACATTTAGTCACAGCTGCTCCTATGAGGAAGCATCGTAAATATTTTTACATCAGAGTAACATTGACACAACTGAGTCTATCGGCCTGATTCCGCTGAGCATGCAAAATCCAACTCATTACAGGAAACAGTTTTCCAGTATATAAAAAAAAAGTAATTTTAAAATATCAAAGTATCCACACAAGTCATTTGACAATGATTAGGTTGGTTATAATCCTATAGTCATGCATAGCATCTGGTTTTTTTTTTTTTTTTTTTTTTTTCTTCTTCTTTCCCTCAATTAGTTCTTCAGAGGCTTAATTCTTAAGACTTTGGTAGTACAGAGAATTTCTGAAAACAGAATGTCCAAGCTACCTCTGTGAATGAATCTACTGATGACACAGCAGCATTTGCAACAGGAGTCTGCTGGGCCAGGTTCTCCAGCAGTTCCACTGAGATTCCAATCTGGGCCACTGTTGGCGTCTGAGGGAGGTTCATGGCACCAAAGGGATGTTGACTTCCCTTCCCTGAAAGCATCACAAACAGCACAGGTTAGATTTGGCACACATGTAAAGACTGTGTTACTTAAATCAGTGTGTTTCTTCTGTAGAAGGTATTCCTCAACTCCCACCAAAGAGATCTCCCTATCTCAAATACAGAAGATTCATGCAGTCCTAGCACAGGCACAAGTTACACACAAGCACAACAGATGAAACAGTGTGACAGGTACATTTATAAAACACAGCAGATCTTAGGGAAATTTTTTTTAAAAAAAGGAAAAAAAATAATTTTAAAGCTATGAAGTAAGTGGATTCAACAGGAAACATGATCTGTAAGTAAAAGACAGCAGAACCTTTCTCTATAGGAACCAAGCCTTTAATTCACGTTATAACAACTGCAGATAAACAGGAAACATGCAGCAGTGCTGCACAGTTGTTTGATTCCCTCATTCAAAACCAGGTTCTAGTGAACCTGTTTGTGCACTGAAAAATAGAGAACGTTACTTCAAGACCACTCTGACCCGCAGCTATCCCTGTGGAGGGCTGGGCAGCCCCAGGTCTCATCCAAACTGCTCAAAACCACCAACAGCAGCAAAGCTCAAAGGAATAGCCACGGAACAGAAAGGCCTCTGACTTCGCAAGTCACAAAGAAAACAATGAATCGGGCAGAAAACCACCCCCAAATTGCATACCACTCATACAGGCATCATCCCAGCCCTCTGCCATGACTTCTGACCTTTCTGAACTGAGTATTAACCAGTACTTTCAGTCCCAGCTTCAGCTAGGGTCTCTGCAAACAGAGGCATCTGGAGTCACTTAAACCATGCACGCTTTGTCAGCATCTGTAAAGGAAAATACAGGAAAAAGGTCTGGGGGACCACAATGCTATTAGTAAATAAATACTAATACTCCACCGAAGTTTGAACAAACACAATAGACAAGCACCCTTTTAACACAGAAGTGATGTTTTGGAAGTACTGTCTGGCCTCTTGCTAGCACAAAGCAAACCTAATCAAGAGCTGTGCTACAGACCACTCAAGACTTGAGATGCAAGAAAGACTAACTCACATCTAAAGTACCATCTGACTTGGTTCCATGGTCAAAAAAACTCAGCCAGCAGAAACTGCACAAGGTTGAGAAGTGGAACTCAGGCTTAAGACTGAAGATCTCAGAAACCTGATCATTCTTTGCAGGGACGCAAGACACTACCACAAAGCAGCACACACTCAACACATATGGAAAGCACGTTCACCCAGCACTCTTTTCAACTGAAGCCAAGTGTTACTCAGTCCAGATCCTACAACTGCAACATAGTGCTACATTTAGGAACAAAGCACTCACTGTTGAGCTGTTAACTTTTAACACAAGGTAATAAGAGAGTTCATCTCCTGAAGTGCTATTTATAAGTGGTTTTAGATCATGCTGCTGTATGATCTCAAGCTTTACTCTAGAAAGATGCATGTTTAATAAAGGTAAAATTTAAACTACTATAAAGAAAAGCTATTAGAAACAAAATATCATGCAAATTGATTATTAAAAATCCCAACTGTAATAGAGCTGGTAGAAGTTTTACATCTTGTAACATCACTTGAGAAGCTGACACTTACAGTAAATATGTAACACCCTCAAGCAACAGGCTCCATCAGAATATATCACTATTTTAGAAGGACATTCATGATCCAAATAATAAAATAAAAGTTAAATATACACTTTGCATACACTCCCATGGAACCACCCTCCTGGAAAGACATCCACCTAAAATGGCGAGAGCACAGCATCCCCTGCCATCCTTACACAGATGAAATGCACTCCACGTTTTTAATGCTTGGCTCTGCCAACTAACATTCCAAACCTTACAAATACAGAGAACAGCATGTTAATTGGTACTGAAATACAAGCTCAGGTTCTCATTCAGACCCTACACTCTCCAATATACTATGTCATAGCAGAATAACTGCAGTCAGAAAAATATTTTTACCACCCCTTTATTTCCCTTCATTGAACCCTTGATTCAAGACAGAAAGCCCTCACTACCTTTCAGCCCAGCCATGGCAAAAACCTTACCCAGGCGTAGGCCTCAAATGCAGACATTATATTAGAGGGTATATTTGTAAGTGGAAACCAGCACCGCACACATCATTGCATGCTGCACAGCAGAAAAAGTCTGTAATGGAAAGGCTATTCCATAACTTTTATCCCATTTGTCAACATACTTCCAGTAAGGATGCAAAATCCCAGCCCAAGTTTTGTTTTCTATTTCTACTACACTTTCAGGCACAACTGAAAAATAAAAACCCCTTACAATTCCAAGGCAAGAAGTACTTCTAAGCCTCCTCTTCATGCACAACCACATGAAATTTATCTAGTCTCAATCAGCAAACAACCCGCAGTCAGAATATGTAAGAATATATAATTCTGTGCACTCAAGTGTTACCAGCCAATATTCTTCTCCAGATCTGAAAGTACAGACAAGCCAGTAACAGTGACAACCGCCAGCAATGGCATTCTTCTAAATCTTGATTCTCGAGGCCCAAACTGCTTCCCTGCAGCATAACTTCCTGCTTGGAAAAGGAAGGCCAGCAAATCATTCTATCCACAACATTTTCCAAAGCAACCTCAACAAACCACCTGTGACAAAAACCAGCAGAACCTGTGTCTTGCCTTCCAAGAGCAGTCGTGCTTCCAAGGGCAGCAGGGGCCCAAGTAAAAAACTTGGAACTCTTTAGTCACACCGTAAGAACTGACCACAAATCCTTGTGTTGAGTGATAAAGCTCACAGTGATGCCATCAGGAGTGCCAGTGACCTTAATGAATGAATATAGTTAGCATTGATAGTGTAGCTCCAGCAGGCACCAAGGGATCTTACTACAACATCCGATTGCAGCTGCAGTTTATTACACAAGTGCAGATACTGCACAATTTCAAGAAATCAACTCGGCCTCCATCACAAAGGTATATTTCTACTTTATCCCTCTTAGCACTAAAGAAGACACTCGGTTTTATTAAGGCCAGAAATAGTCTATTTTGCCTTGACTACAGGCTGTTAAACATTTCACCTGTAATAAAAAAAAATAATCCAGAAGTGGGAAGAATAAGAGACTGAAAGAATACACATCGACTGTCATCCCACTGGGGGGTGGGGAAATGACCAGAAACCCCCCAAACCTCAGAAACACACATTATTCAGCTTTTAGCATGAAATACAACTACCAGTTTTGTTTGGAGGGGTGGTGTTGTTCATTTAATAGTCTTATTTCCAGCAACCATGAAAATTGCATCTGAAGAGAAAGAAAATAATTCAGGTTTAATGCTTATTGCCAAGCCAGTCACCATTTTACATGATAGTTAATCCTCAAAAAGAAACAGGCAATAGTGCTGGACACTTCAGGCCTTTGACTTTTGGACATTTCATCAGTATCAGCAGACGTGAGACTTCACTCGCTAAATCAAGGGGTGAAAACAAAGACACAAACACAAAGAACCCACAAGTTACACAAAGTACTTCTATTCCTAGCCTCAGAGCATAGCATTTAAGGATGGTTTAAAGTCAGCAAGAACAACAACAGAAAAGCCTACTTTTAGATATATTAAGTTCGTACCAAGACTACTAAAAAAATACAAAATACAATACCAAACTCTTTCCTATATAGAGTTCTAAATATATCTTTTTTAGAGGGTACTGTGACATCCTGTGAGACCCCTTCAAGATCTAGTCTGGAAATCTCTTATTCAAAGAAGGTTAGCTGAGTTTAAACAGCACCTGTAGTCAAGGAAAAGTGTCCAGGCTCACAATTTAGTCTCTACTCAACAAAACACTTTTGCATGTTGAAGAGTGTATTCTCTAAAAGTGATTTCCCCTTTAGTTCATCTACTGGGACAACTTTCTGGTACCTCATTTGGAAACACTGGTCACCTACACTGGCTTTACTAAGCGAGCGTGGGACAGGAATCAGAGAAGTGAACAAAAACACGCCAGGGCAACACCATTTTATTTGACCAACATAGTCCTGAAACCTAATACCACATCCCCACAGCCCAACCCGTCCTTACAACAACGAGCAACGTGGACAAGTTACAGACATCACAAAGCCTGCACAGTTTAAGGGCATTTCAGACACTAAACAAACATCACAGAAAACTTGCAAATGATACTGTTAACCTTTCCCAAAGTCTGTGTAATAAAATACTAGCCACTTCATTTGGCCACTTGTGTTTGTGTAAGAAACACACTGGCCTTCATCACACAGCAAGAAACTCTGCTAAGACCACTGCTTCACAGGGAGCTGACAAACAGGGACACAAATTTGTTCATCTCAGCAAGGGATTAAGCCCAAACCACAGATTTCAACAGTCAGTAATGTCTCTCAATGATTCCAGCTCTCTCTAATCCCTCTCTGGTCTTCCCTTCCTACAGCCTCATAGTCTTATCTATCATACAATGGTTTAGGGTCATGGAAACTACGGCTGTGTACCTTTATACTGACTCTACAGTCAGAGATAAGCTGTAGACAACAATGGGAACGGCAGAGCTCTCTGTTACTCAGATCAAGCACAGCACTGCAAATGCATTCAACCATGTCACAAAGCTCTTCCTCCGGAGCAGCCCTTACTTGGAAATTATTGCTAAACATGCAAAATGCATCTGAAAATGTGTTTTCCTACAAAGCTGTCTGAAAGCATATGTAATAAAGCAAGTCTTTCAAGCATAAGAGAGACAGCAAAAGTACTGGCTATACACTTTACTGTTTCACCAACACCACAACTTTGGAATATACGAGCATCCCCAAAACCCTTCCTGTGGCTGTTCTGAGGAAAGCCCAAATATTTGAGGAACATACATGACCAGAATTCACTTCACTAGCTCTGCATCTTGAAAGCCCTTATCTCACATCACACTGCCATCCAGGACTGATTCAAAAGCAAGCATGCCACATTATGATTGAATATGTTTTATCACAGCAACCTCAATGCTTACCTAAACAGAGAACCAAGTTAAGGCTGTAGACTACACTGAAGCCTATAATAGATGTGTATTACTTTATCACCGTAACACTTTAAGCTGCTTAACTTACATATCTCTTCCTCTAATGACAAGGGTGTGCCATGGGGGTCCTTCATTGTTTTTTTTACAACATGCATGACAGACCCCCCCATATATTTATGAAGACACACCCACATCTACTTTATGTATCTCGCTCGGGTCTGTATCAAAAATACTGAAATACTTGGAAAGCTGCTTTCCAATGACGACACCCTCTACTGGACAATTCCACCGTGCAACCGCACCTGAGTGGGAAGCAGCTGGCTGAAATCAGAATCATTGCGTCAGACTTTACTCATTACAAAACCTGTCTCTGTGTTACAAACCGCTTAACAGGAGAGGCTGAAGCAAAACGCTGCAGGCATGTCTAGACAAACGCCTAAAAACTATGCTACAGACCTTACAGGGTCATTCTTCTGCAGGGTCCCTGTGCATAAGTACTGAACACAGGCCAAGCCTGCCCAAAGGAATTTCTAGGTCAACACCACATACAAGAGAAGACAAGTAAGAAGTTTGGCTAGGAACATTAAGATACACAGAGCCTTCCATGAAGCTGATTGCTGCTACCGCTATATTTGCTCAGGACTATCTGAAAACACACAGTGGTCTGACTTTTCAAGTAGCTTCATGTTCAAAACCACCTTCAAACATTTATCCCCTTATGCATGCAGGAATGCATCTGTTTCACCGACTGCTATATTTTACCAGTCTTACCAGATTTCAGACCAGAAATTTTGAAGATGGCACTTGGCTTCTCATTAGTGACAAACCCCAGCAGCTGCCACACTGCCATCCCACTCTGGTCCGGATAACAAAAATAGACAGATCCTCCCATTCCTTCTGGAAATGGTACAGTTCCCAGCATGAAGACCACTACATGGTTGATGTTTTCATAGTCTGGTAAATCAAATACAAATTTGTCTTCAGCCACTTGTTGGGGAGCTGCTTGTACCTAAAGAGAACAAAACTTTTATTAGTATTACTGTTTTTCACCTCTGACTGTAGCTGTGAATTTCCTTTAACAGAAATACACCTAAAGAGGAACATAACAAAAAGTGAGGAATGTACCAACCTAAACAGCAAATAGCCAGATAAAAGTCAAACACAGCAGAAGAACAACTGCAAAAAATATTACTAACAAGGCACAACAGTCTTGTTCTACCTGCACTGAACACATATCCCACCCGGGACTACAGGATCAGAATACCTTGGCTCCCCATGTGCGTAGGAGGAAAATAGGGTGCAGAAGAGGTTGCCAAGTCTATAAGCAGTGGCTGTTGACCACCTGGCTGGCACAACCCCAGGATCATGGAAACCTGTTCACATAGGAAATACAATAGACCTTGAGACAGGCAGCAGAAGCACGGCTAAATGCCAGAGCAAAAGATACCCTCCTCTTTACCCGAGATGCCACATCCTCGCAGCCAACGCACAATCTAGCCTTAAAAAACTTCTTTTAAGCTCCCAGCTTGTCTCTGAGGAGCCCAAACCTCTCCATTAACGGAGGGGGATGGCAACTGCCTCCCGGCAACGAGGCTCTACCAGGCAGCTGCCTCTGGGGATGAGGGGCAGGAGCCGGCCGAGGTGACGGGCAGGCGTGACGAAGACGTCGAGGTCCCCACTGCCTGGGGCCAGCCCCGGGCAGAGCCCGGCGAGGGGAAGAGCGAGCCCCGGGGGCAGCCCTGCGGCAGCTCCACCCCGGCCCCGAGCGGGTTGAGGGCCCCGCCCGCGG